CCACCTGGTTTCCTTTATAGCTGCTCTCTTTATCACTATACTTTTCAATCATTATGTCTGCTACTCTTCTGGATCTTGTCTTGTAGTGTTAGCCTTGGAGAAGGTCCTAGTTTTTGTTTTAAAGTCTATCTAATTCTGTCATAAGCACAATCAAGCTAAATTGTAGTGGTATCTAAAGCAGAGAGCAGTAGAAATCAACAGATGCCAATCGGAGTGCTATGAAATTATAGAGCAGAAAGTGAATTTCTTTCTCTATTATAATACAGAATGGATCTCAAATCTGTTTTCTTCTGAACTAGAATGCATATAAAGCTGATCTTCAGTGGCTTCAAGGAACTGGATGGAATGCATATGGATCTTTAGAATCAGAAAAGAACAAGAAAGCTTCAGAGATTCTGAGTGAGAAGAAATATCGTCAGCCCCCTGACACTGTTAAATTCACAAGTATTGCTGATTCAATGGAGGTGGTTTTGGCAAAAGAAAATGCCAAGCATAGAAGTGATGTGAGTTTTTTGTTTAACTTCCACTGGGAAGGAGGGTCCATGCATGAATGAGGTGCACAGAAAATGGAAATGAGAATGTGGCACATGATCAAATGATGCTCATATGGTTAATTTTTTAGTTTAAGACCCGTGTACTTTTATTTGAGAGTAGGTCTCATTGAACTCAACAGAACTTACTTCTAGGTAAATATATGTAGGATCCAACTACAGGATAATTAAATGTAATTTTTCTTCTAGGAATCTGATGCAAAAATGCACCTCTGTTAAGAAGCATAAACATTTGTTTAGAAAAAATGTTGGCTTGCTGTAGGATGGGTTCTGTTGATCTCTATAAACATCTGGAAAGGAGAGTCCCCAGACAGAATAAGATGAATACGTTGTAGTGATTAGAGTTTTGGGACATCCAGGCTCAAATTCCCATGTTGCCGTGAAATTCATTGGATGAGCTTGAGACAGTTACTGCTTTTTACCTTAATCTGTTCTCAGGATTTTTGTGAGAATAAAGTGGAGGAAGGAAAATGTATGCTGTCCTGAGCTGTTGGAAGAGGGGTGACATTTCATTCTGTTGGTTATTTCAGGTGGCTTGTTAAATAGTGGGTTTAACACGGCAAATTTAGTCTGTTGCCTTCATACAGCAGCCATAAAAGACAAGAAGTATTTTCTTTAACTGTGTTATATTTTGCCCAGCATTTCACATTAGCTAATATTTCGTTGTAATCAGATGAGAACTTTGGTGTTGCATATGCTTATTCTCATTGACCCATAATAATTCTCTTTTGCTAGAAACTTTACCGAGAAGCTTGGGACAAGGACAAGACTCAGATTCACATCATGCCTGACACTCCCGAAATTATTTTGGCCAGAGCCAACTTACTTAATACAAGTGATGTAAGATTAACACTGGGTTGTGTGAATTTTTTTTAGTTGTATTGAACTCTTTTTTCCTGCTGGGCTATAACTGTTACTAAAGTTCCAGTTTTTCTCTTTATAGAAACTCTACAAGCTAGGGTTAGAAGAACTGAAGAAGAAAGGCTACAACCTTCCTATTGATGCCATAACAATCAAGGCAGCAAAAGCATCTCGGGAGATTGCCAGTGAAGTAAGGGTTTCATTTACGTCTTTACAACAATTTTTAACACTATACACAGAAAAATGTGTAGAGGACAAAAATAACATCAAAAGAGATAATTAGCTCAGCTGTCATTATTTTACTAAATGTAGTCTTTCTGAATATTATGTGAATAGCAAGACTTTCAAGCTTATGTCTTCTTGTGGTTTGATCTTATTCCTAAATAACGCCAATGGCTGCTGATTTTGGATAAATAAATTTTACAAAAGTCTTTTCTTTCTCATAGTTGTTGAGAAGTCATCAGTTTATCCTTCAACATTACATGCTAACATTTCTTGTGTCACACTGACTGTAAGCAGAGTTTTCTGAGTTCATTTTTTTGCCATGTTCTTATCAAATTATCGGTGGCTTCTGCCAGCAGGTGGAAGCTTCATTTTTGTTTGGCATACCTCAAACAACTTGTTATTCACCCTCCTCCCTGTTTTTCCTGTTGCACGTTTATGCATTTTTATTGAAGTATTTTTTAATTTTAAATGCTATTTTTAATGTTCAAATGTTTTAATGTTTTCAGGTTCACCACCTTAGGAATCCTACTTGGATGGAAAGGCAGCATAAAAATGTTTTAAATCAATAAAGGGCTGTGCATCCTATAGCACAGGCCCATAGCCAGGATTTTTAAAGTCAGGGTGCATTTACATTTCTTAGGGGGCATTTACATTTCTTAGGGGGCCCTGGCTAATTGAATTAAAGGAATACCCGGCTCCTTCCCTGCACCTGCTTCTGCTTGGGGGCCCTGGGCTGGATGGGAAGTCATGGGGCCTTGCCAGTCAGTCAGGGGGCCTAGCCCCGAGATGCCCCATTGTAGATACAGGCCTGATATAGCATTATCATGACAGGGGAAAGCATTCATGCTATCACCAGGGGACTATGCTCTTGGTATACCAGTGAAATGCATGATAGTCAACAATATTTTTGGCAATTTATTATTTCTTAGTGATACAATAAATGAATGAAGTAACTTTTCTTTTCCATAGTACAAATACAAAGATGGCTATCGCAAGCAGCTTGGCCACCATATTGGAGCTCGTAGCATACAAGATGACCCTAAACTTGTGCACTCAATGAATGTAGCCAAGATGCAGAGTGAGAGGGAATACAAGAAGGACTTTGAGAAATGGAAGACCAAGTACAACAGTCCTGTGGACATGCTTGGGATCTTGCTGGCTAAGAATTGTCAGAAATTAGTCACTGATGTTGATTATCGCAATTACCTGCACCAGTGGACTTGTCTCCCAGACCAGAATGATGTTGTGCATGCCAGGAAAACATACGATCTTCAAAGTGATGTAAGAATCTTTTTTTAAAAACAATTGTGAAAACTTAAGTATATTTTCACTTCTAATTTTTAATTTTCCTTATGATTTTAATCTAGTTTGAAATATTTTGATGGATTCTAGCTGAAGCAAAATTACAATTTTGTATTCAGAAGATCTTGAGGAGCCTACGTTCAGCTCATTCAATTGATTTAAATAGGTTATTATTTCATTAAATTTGTTAAGGATTTTTTTACTCAAGAAATGCTCACTTGCAATCCTTTTCATTGAAATCATTGGGGAAGTCAAAATGTACAGGAGCACTGAGAGCAGTGTTCCCTCTAAGCTGAGTTAGTGTGAGCTAGCTCACAGTTTTTTAGCCTCCGGCTCACACATTTTTGTCGTAGCTCAGGAAGGAGGGCTCCAGAGCAAACTAATTTATGCAGTAGACAAATCGCTCGCTCACAACTTTGATGCCAGTAGCTCACAAAGTAGAGTTTTTGCTCACAAGACTCTGCAGCTTAGAGGGAGCATTGACTGAGAGTGATGGGATCTAGGGTTGGCATCAACATAATTTGAGGTGGGGCAGAAGAAAGCTGTGGTTTCTATAAGTACTGATATACTACTCTATGCACAAGGTCCTTTTCACATTTTTGGTTATATAGGCAGCTTTATCTGAGAGTCTGGTAAGTTATGTAAAGTCTTAGCATCAGTTATGTTTGTTAATCTTGGCTGTTGTTAAGTGTTGTGACACCAATAGCCTTTTTGTAAATGTGGCTTGTAATTAGGAGGGCCAAAGTCTTCACTGCTACTAGAAGGAAATATTTCTACTCTATTTTTAATCTTCATTTTACAGAATATGTACAAAGCAGATCTTGAGTGGCTAAAAGGCATAGGCTGGTCTCCAAGTGGTTCTCTAGAAGCTGAGAAGAATAAGAGAGCCTCTCAGATCTTGAGTGACCATTCGTACAGGCAGCATCCCGACACATTCAAATTTACAAGTCCTATTGATTCCATGCCTATGGCTTTGGCAAAGCATAACTCTGAAATTATGAACCATGTAAGTTCCATTCATTCATTTTCTGTTGCTTACAGAAAACTTCCTTGAAATCAAGACTGTTCCCTACATGTTTAAATTGCTTTTGTTAAGGCTCAAGAATAATTTATACAGCTGTTTTATGTTAGATTTGAGGATTTTAAGTGTGAATAGCTGTTTTTATTCTCCAAAAAAGCTTAATGTATTTTTCAAACGTTTAGTTTAGGCTTTAAATAACACACTGTAAAAATATTACTGGCCTCAAGATTTATGTAACCATATATTCAGTTACCCATTTTTGTTCTTTCTGGAGAACATGTGGAAGGGAGTCCCTAATTTCTGCCAATTCCTTGTTGTCAGCTGCAGCCCCCCCCCACATTCTACTCCATGGGGGAGAAGTTTTTTTAGGGGTAGAAGGGACTGCTGGTTTGATGAGAAATATAGAATTGTCCCAAGTGAGAAGGTGGAGCTTTCCCACATTCCGTTACACTTGGATTTATATCCTATCTTTGCAGAGCTCAAGGCAAGATATATGGGATTTTTCCTTTATTGTTCTTCATACCAGCCCTATGAGGTTGAGAAAAAAGTCAGGTCCATGGTTGGAGACTGGATGTGAATCCAGATCTTACATTTTCAAATCTAATACCTTACCTATTTGACCAAATTCGTTCTCACTGGTAAATGTCCTTGAGTTGTAGTTTTCTGGATTGTGGCCAGTGACCTGTATAGAGAATACTTCATCATGTTAACTGTATTCACTAATTCAAGAACTTCATGGAGCTAATTTCCCTCTTTTTGCCACTGTGGAATGTTCCAGGATGGATTGTAATGTTAAAACAGCCTGGTAGCAGGCAAGCAACATATTTTTTAGAACAATTACTTCAGATATCACAATACATTACATTTTTATGCTACTTCCTTCATTAAATAATGGTTTTTTGTTTATTTTTAAGCGCATGTATGTTGATGCTTGGAACAAGGATAAAACCAGCATCCACATTATGCCAGATACTCCTGAAATTTTACTGTCACAGCAGAACAAAATCAACTTCAGTGAAGTAAGTGAATTTCTTTGTAACTTGTGGCAGAAAGTAAAATTCAGACAGGAGATTTTGTCTCTTTAAATATTAAATTGATGTTTACCATTCTTTTAGAAATTATACAAACTTTCATTGGAAGAGGCCAGGCAGAAGGGCTATGATCTTCGTGTGGATGCAATCCCAATCAAGGCTGCTAAAGCTTCCAGAGATATTGCAAGCGATGTAAGTCATTCTGGTTGTGTGGCTTTATACTGTGTCAACTAAAAAGAGACATTGCTTTCAAAATCTCTTGCTCCATGATCTAAAAGCCTAGAATTTTCTATTGCTCATTTGCAGCATGATTACAATTTTTTTGAGGATTTGTTTGAATGGTGATTCAAAAGCTGCATGAGAGAGAATGTGAGAGAAACTGACCTATGATATCCAGGGGAAAAAGCTTAAGGGGTTTAGGATAGAATGTATTCAGGGCCGGCTCGCTCACTAGACGAACTAGACATTCGCCTAGAGCGCACTGGCCCTTAGGGGCGCCAAACAGCATCTTCCCTCCCCCCCGCCAAAAGCCCCCCTGACCGGATGACTGATGACCGCTGGTGCCGCCGGAGGACGCTGGCCAAGCCTGAGGTGGTGGCGCTGCCGCCCGCCTTGGGGCTTGGAGGTGGCACCAGATGGACCCAGGTGGCAGTGGGGTTAGGTTCGCCCTGTGGCCAGGGCCTGTGATGGGTCCACAGGCGGGCAGCGATGGAGTTGTCGCTGCCGCTGGCACTGAGTAAGCCAGTGTGGCCGGCGGCCTTCTGGTGGCGAGGGAACGGGGCGGCGCTCTCCCCCCCGGGGTCCTCCTTGGTGCCAGCACTCGGCCAGGCAGTGCAACCCAAGGGGGGGGGAGCAAATGGATCCTTCCCAGGGCCGGGCTTCGGGGAGGTGCAAGGAGTAGCCCGGAAAGGACACAGGAAACTGCGAGCTCACTTGGTACCTGCAGGGGGGGGGATCAGTGACCCACTTCGAGCTGGGGACATCGCAGGCCAGCGGTATTTGGGTGAGAGGGCACCAGAGCGGGGGAGAGAGGCAGAGGCCAGCCGGACTGAGATCTGGTCTGGCCCGAAGGAGCTGGGGGAGCAGAGGGGCAGCCCTGACCGGCACGTCTCCCTGAGCCGCAGGCCTCTTGAATGTCGGGGGAAGAAGCAGGTGTGTGTGAGGAGGCACTGGAGCTGCTGAGCTACGGGCTGGTGGGCTGTGCTGGGGCGCACCTTCCGCGTGCCCTATGGGCGCTACTAGTCGGTGCTGCTGTGCAGCTCGTCACCGGCCCGCCTGGCCTAGATGGTGCAGGAGGCGCCCTCCTTCCTGCTGCTACTCCTCCTCATCCTGTGCAGCAATGGCACCCAACTCCATCGCTGGTGGGAGCTACTGGCATTGTGTGTGGGGGGGCGGCACACGGGGGGGGGCGCTAGAAGGGATCCTGCCTAGTGTGCAAAATAAGCTGGGCCTGGCCCTATATTATTGTAGTTAGTTTTTATTTCCTTTTGTCAGGTTTTTCAGGCCAAAGCTGAAGGGGGCAACAATCCGTAGGAGTCCAGAATCATTACTAATATTAGGTATTTGGTAATATTGAGGTAGATTATGTAGCCAATAATATTTTGCTTGCTAAGTTACTTCTTGAAAGTTATCTCTTTCTAAATAAAATGTTATATTTAAAACTAATCATTATCTTTGCTAACAGTACAAATATAAGGAAGGCTATCGGAAGCAGCTTGGTCACCATGTGGGAGCCCGCAGCGTTCAAGATGACCCTAAACTTGTGCACTCAATGAATGTAGCGAAGATGCAGAGTGAGAGGGAATACAAGAAGGACTTTGAGAAATGGAAGACCAAGTATACCACTCCTGTGGATATGCTTGGTGTCTTATTGGCTAAGAACTGTCAGAAACTAGTTAGTGAAGTTGATTACCGCAACTACCTGCACCAGTGGACATGCCTTCCAGACCAAAATGATGTCATCCATGCTAGGAAAGCTTATGAACTACAGAGTGACGTGAGTAGAGATCTGGTTCAACCTCACTGAACAACAGGATTTCTTTGGGAGGTGTAAGATTTGCCCTATTAATATTCCTGTTTTTCTTTTGTTGGTAGAAAGTATTTCCAAGAAGCTATAAAAGGCTTTCAATGGCTCATGAGTCTCACATCTTCCCATTTTAAAGCAAAGTTGGAGGGCTGACAGGAAAAGATACTCAAATACAGCCACTGAATTTGTGAATTACACCAATGTACTCCATTCCATTTCCCTAGACCTACAAAACTCATTTCACAATACATGTATTTGATAAATGCCAGTTAAATCTTGACCCACATTTACAAATTTTATTGTTAATTTTCTGTGATGTTTCAGAGGTCACTAGGGTAGAAAAGTGTTGAGACCAGTGAGATTGTAGGGATTTTCTTTGGGGTGGTGAATAGATTTGATTTGTCTGGAAGATTATTCCAGGTGAGCCGCTGTGATCATAGGCAATGAAAGAAGGACTGAATCTGTAATCCACAGTTTATTTTCACCAAAGAATCTCCATGAAAGTTACTGTTCTAGAGCATGTGGGCTGTGGGTTATAAACTGTGACTAAAGAATTCTTCCCAACATAAAGTAGAGCCATAATCTCTCCCTTATAATAAAAGAGTTTTGGGTGCCAAAGTTCTAAAATGCACCCCTTTAGTGTTAGGCCGAAAAAACTGCCACTCGGAAGACACTGGCTGGGTTCATTGGCTGCTTTGTGCAGTCCCGGCCAGCGTTCCAAGGTCATTTACATATGGAAGCTGATTGGACTACACTCCATTCCACACCTGAAACTCACCCCCCCCCGCAAGGCAGTTGGAATTTTCAGTTGGGAGAGGAGAATGATGTCAGCTGATCCCTAGGCAGAGGCTGTGTGTGTGTGTGTGGGGGGGTTTGTAAAACTTAAGACAGACAGGCAGATAGGGTTGCCAACTCCAGGTTGGAAACTTCCAGGATATTTTAGGGATGAAGCCTGCTGAGGGTGGGATTTGAGGAGGAGGAGGAAGAGGGGGACCTCAGACAGATACAATGCCATGCTGCCCACACTCCAGACAAGCTGTTGCCAGTCTCCAGGTGACAGCTGGAGAGATCTTAAAGCTTTGGTGCTACTTCAAAGTTCCCCAGGAGCCCAAAACAGAGAAGTGTTTTGGAAAATCTTGAGGAATTGTTTGGTGCATTTACGATGGGGCTCCTGGGGAACTATTGTTGCCAATCTTGGCCCAGCAGCCATCAAACCATTCTCTTCAACCCCCTGCTGTGCAGCTGACTTCCCCCTAGGGTTGCCAATCTCCAGGTGGGACCTGGAGATCTCCCACTGCTACAATTGATCTCCAGATGACAGAGATCAGTTCCCCTAGAGAAAATGACTGCTTTAGGAGGGTAGACCCTATGACATTATACCTGCTGAGTCCTTCCGCCCCCCCCCCGCCCAATGCTGCCCTCTACAGAATCCACCCCCCAAACCTCCAGGTATTTCCCTCCGTAGAGCTGGCAACCCTACATTCCCCTCAGTGCCTGTTGGGAGTGGGTGGTGGGGGAGGGGAAGGGAGCAGGCGACCGGTCCTGGAGTGGGGGGGTGGAAACGGACCCGGCAGCCGGAGGCTTGCACCTCCAGTCGCCGGCCCTGGAGTGAGTGGGGTTGGGTGGGGGGAAACGGACCCTGCGGCTGGATGTCGGCCCTGGAGTGGGTGGGGGTGG